TCCTCGACAGGTCCCGTCGAGATAGCGAAGAAAAGAGTGCACTAACGAGTTCGTTACCGTTTCATCTCATGCGTCCCTGGAACTTCCTTTCTTTCCACCTTCTAGTCTCTTACCGAATCGGAGATCCAACGGCTCTCCCCCGGTGGAGCTTCTCGTTTCCAACGGAGCGCAATAATAAATTTGGGGAGCGTTGCTTCCAGGGGAGCCCGGGGGATAGAAAAGGACGGCCGTTCACCAGGCCGGTCTGCCATCACCAATCGGAGACTGCAAGACTGAAAGACGACAAGGGAGTGAAGCCACTGAGCGGAATCCGACTACACATCATTAAGAGCGAGCATCTTATCATCGTTCGGATGTCTCATCCCGCGTAGTTTCTCCTTTCCCCGATCCCGACGTCCGATGCACGGATGGTCGCGATGATTTGATTGATAGCATGGTCGATCGACTCGGGGAGTGAGAGAACTGTCGAGGGAATCCACGGCTGAGCGGCTGTCAAAGAAGAAATGAACTGTTCTCCCACCGCGAGGCACGGAGCTCAGCGTCCGTTTAACGGCTGCGTTTGCTGAATGGGAGAGTATCGGATGCAACACACGTACAGGTTGACAATGCAATCGAATGTCGGCATTTCACGATTCTCTGCCGCCGGAGCCATCGCGATGGTCCGCGTAGCTTTTTGCGACTGACTCGGATCTGCGCTCGTCAAGTCCTCGACCAAGTCCCCGGCTAGAGCTGGATGGTGGACGGGAGTCGTGCGTCGCGGATTCCGACAGCAACATCAACTTTTCTCTCTTCTTCCACGAAAGCGGACAGGTGATGCCAAGCTCGGAGCTCGGGACTCACCTCGCGCAAGAGGGAGGATGGCTGACGGTTGCGGGATGAATTTTCAAAAATTTCTCCCGGATCGCCTGGAACTCCTCACTTGCCACGGGCTTATTGCACTCGGGCTGCTTTTGTCGGTTTTCGCAAACTGAATTACGCCGGGGCGGAAATAAGCGAAAGGAAAGAGATGAAGACAACGACGACAGCGGCGATGATCGTGAGGGAGCACAGGACGACCTCCACGCAAAGATTGCTTGTTTGAGTGGATGGCGGCGGACGGGACGGCAAGAGGCGGAATGTGTAGAGACGGCAGTTGCGAATGACAATCTTGTTCCGGATTCCTGTTGCTTTGGATTCCGTCAAGAGTCGCAACAAACAATTTCCTCCCATTGTCAGCGAAGTGTAGCCAAGGAAATCATCGCAGTCGTGCGGCTCTCGACAACGACGACGACGAGCATCGGGCTCTCGCGGCATACGAGGAGTTCGCTGGAAGGAGTCGTGGTGGGAGTCGACGTTGCGGGCTCATCGCTCGGTGCCCGCTCGGAGCTGCTATAAGTTTACCAGGAAATTTTATTGAATTAACAACCACCACCACCCGTTTCTCTCTCGGGTTTTCGTCGTTTGCTCGGGTTCCGAGCAAACTGGCGGGTAAACGGGCTAACGTTTGATGACATGACACAGCAGGCTAGCAAGTACTGGGTGGCGGTCCCATCGGACGTTCAAGATGTAAACATTCCCTCGGCTAGGTTGAATTTCACTTTTTACTCAATTACGCGATTAACTCTCTCTCTTTCCCGGTGCACCCGCCGGTCGTCCTCGACCGTAGTGAAGGATGGTGGCAAACAAAACGCTCGGGCCTAAATCAAACTCAATTTGTGAACCGGAACGACGAGAAGCCGAACGACTACCGAGTGCGGTAACGCGTCTTCTTCCCCGCATCCGTCCCATTCAACACCGGAGCTCCCCACGAAATCCACGGAATACCCCGATCCCACCGAGCTCGATTGGAGTGACTAGCTTCGGAGACTACGAATAATCTCAGAACGTCTTGAGGAAGGTGCATCGATATTCCCTCGCCCTCTCGACACACTGCTCGGGGTCGGCTCTGTATGCCGTCGTCACCTATCGGGTGAATCTTTTGCGATCAATATGAATAGGCCAGAATACCTAGGCAATCCATGAGGCGTTCTGTAGCTGAGGAATTTCGCTGTCGAGTCGTTTGTGCTCAAGCATGTCGGTTCACCCGCCTAGAATATTCCCAGAAGGAGAGCGGCGCTTGAAATCTCATCTCCGCACGAGCTCGAGCGAAATTTTGCGCACCGTTCCTTTCAGCGCATCACCGAACAGCACCTAGAATCGAGTATGCGCTGAGAAGCTTCAGAGCCTCTCGCAGAGTTTGGGACATTGCAGGCTTATCTGGCGCCAAATGCCCGTGTTCCCGCAAGGCGGCTTACGTTCCGCTGGAGGCTGTTTTCCGCATCGTTTTGTCTCGGGAACAATATTTCTCTCCCAAGAATAACTTCTATGGGGAGGGAGACAAGGATCTGGGGTCTGATGCGCTGGAAATACTCCAATACCCTCCTGTCGACGTGAGATCAGGGCAGTGCTGCGTCGGCGACGTCTGGCGCTCTACTCCTATGAGGTCCTGACCTCTTGCGACGGAAAGGTTTGCGAAATCGATGCGATTGAGGAAACGTCTCATAGAGGAAGAGGGATATGGAGATTCTCCATTTCCAGGGAATTCAATTCCTCATCATTGCGAAATTCCGGGGCGATTGTTCGCGGAACGTCACGTGCCCGTTCCGGAGTCGACTTTCGACAGCGACACGCTGACATTCGAGCGGTCTCCTTCCATCGTTCGCTGCGATCTGAGCGGAACTCTGCCCTATGCGAAACATCCGAAGGTTCGCTCCGCCTGATTTTTGATGCGAACGAGTCCTTGTGAGAGATGAACGAAAGCTCTTTCTGCTGTCAAGCCAAAAACAGGATCTCAGTGTCTAATGTCGGCCCAACCCAAGCTGTGCTTCTCTTGTAGACGGGTCTTCGGCCCAGCGATCTGGCCAAAAACATGCAAAAGACAAAAAGTGGTGGGCGTTCCGTGTGTGCTAGCACCGCCGTTCACGGCAAAGGTGCGACGCCAATTAGCAGCTTTTATGTGGACCTCCACTGTGCTGATAAAAACACCGGTTGACCCTACCTTCAGCAGTACATGTTTCCAGGACTGTACAAATCGTATTTCGAGGCTGACATTTTTCCGTCACCGCCACGCCATTCTTCTTCGTGACGGCCCAGATGGTGTGGGCTCAGAGACAGGGACCGAGATTACTCGTTGACAATCAAGATTCGTGGCAGCAACGAAAGAGAGCCATGAGCCACAGCGGGTCCTTAGATCCAGCAACCCCTGGCGATCGTCGCGAGCGATTTCATGATCGAGGGAGAAGTGAGAGACTCCCGAAACAGTCGGCCGTACGGACCGACGGACTCCAATATGTACGTTAACGATAATTATTCATGGTTCGTGCCACCAATGATATCAGGATCTCTGTGATAATGAAGCGAGCTTTCAGATGATGATCCGATAAGCGGCGACACGATGAGGAGAAAGGCTGACAGGCGGGCGGCGCTAATAGAATGAAAAGAATAGCCGAAAATTCTAAAAACTTGACAGTGCGCTCCCTACAATGGGGTCATACAAGATGGGCGAGGAGCTCATTTATGAGCTCTTAATGACGGAGGTGGCGTCGTCAGAGCCGAGGGGCTCGGCGCCTCACCTTCTCTAATTCGACTCGAGAATGAGAGGCTGCTACGCGGACCTCCGATCTCAGCAGTCAACTCCGATATTCTCGGTTACGTCGGATTGCTTCGGAGGGAAGAATTAGGCGAACTGGGGCGATACCGTGTAGTTTCATGGTAGACCTTCTCGAGAGACAGAAATGACACATTCCGATAGTGACTCATAGAAAATATATTTCTTTATTGTTTCACGTTTCTGACGAATATTTGACAGTTCAGTTGCCGTCGAATCGATCATTTTTGTTGTTGTCATCCCTTCCAAATCATTGGATGAGGAGCTACCGAGCGTCCTACTGGCGTCAAACCTTATCGTACTCTTCCCGGAGGAATTTTATTCACAGACTGAATGTACAGAGAGGATATCACAGTATCGCAAATAAATACTGCTCGGTGGCAGCATCTCCCTCCACGATTTTGAAGAATGCTCAGGAAGCTGTTACCCAGGGAAGTCGCCCACGAATCAACCAATCAATCGGAATGTGGCGTTCGAACGACCGACACCATGATGAATTTGTCGGAGTCGTTCCTCGGCGTGGACCGATCAGCGAATTCATCGAATCCAACCGTAATTAAACCCGACGTTTTTCTCTGAACATCACGCTCTCTGCTGCCGCATTCGAACGTCGATGGGACTGGAGCGAGTGATTCTGCTTTCGAAAAACGTAAACGAGAAAAATTGATCTTAAAAGCAAACATGAGAACGCGTTCGCTTCGACGCGGTGTGTATTCGTCTGAGTTGTTTGAAAGTAAATGTGACGACAAAATCTGGCTGAAGCTGTCTGCTTGCTGCATCGAATGCTCTTCCCCTGATTTTCTCTCAGACCTGTCGGCTCAAAGACCCACCGAGGGCGCGCACAGGAGAGATCCCCATTGCCTTGGCCCCTCGGATGGGAGCCACCATATTGAGAGGCCATGGGGGTTCCTCTTTTTCTGTGCGTCCCACCGAGACCGGCTTATGCCGACGTAACGGCTGAGGTTCGTTGACGACTCGTCCCTCCGTTCGGTCGCTGAGATTTGCTCATTGAACTCATTCACGTATATTTCGCTCACGTGCATGCACTCACTCTCACTCTGACAAATTGTTTCCGTTTTTACGATACAAACCCCGGCTTTCGGTGGAAAATAAACAGCCGTCCGTACTTTGCTTATTGCCTCGCCTCTGCCCGATTTCGATCCGACGCACGCCTACAGGGAATCTACCGAACAAAGACTGGACTCTTGATCCCTATTTCTCCGTCGGAACGATCTTCCGGTGATTTCCTCGAAGTCCCGGTAATTATCGGTGTCGTGAATGGCATTATTGCGATATATACACTTCCCGTCCTCCTCTGGAGTCGGTTTTCCCACTAAGATCAACTACAGAATATCAACGTCAACAAACTAATTGTCACGGTGTGTTTTTGCTCCGGCTTTGACGGCTCAGCTCACTTCGAAGGCAGCGTCTATTGTAGTGCTGTGTTGCCGGAAAGATTTGAGGATTCTTTTGCGCAGTTTCTCCATGTTCTCGACCACCAACGTGTTGTTCGGCTCCAGGGAGTACGCGATCGTATAGTGATGGAAGGCAGACGAGTAGTCTCCCTAAAGCGCAGACGAAAAATGGGAGAAATATGTTAAAAATATTCACGAGCACCGCGCGAAGAAACTTCTTGTTCTCAGTCGGCAGCTCGGAACGCACCTGCAAATGCCGGATCACTCCGAGGTTGATGTGAGCGTGAGTCAAATGTGGTTGCAGTTTGATGGCTTCGCTGTAGCACTAAAACGAGGTAGAAGTCTTTCTTTAGAAGGATCTCCATGGAGGACCGCTCCGACTTCTCCCTATCGCGACTCGAGAGGGCGGCGATGCTGTTCTCCGAGTTTGAACTCGTTGGAGAGTTCAGGAGCGCCGCGCCGAGGGGCCTCCATTCAAGTCATTCTCGATGAGGGAAAAAACAAACCTCTGCTGATCTGTTCAGGTTGCTCATGTCCTTGAGGATGTCGCCGTAATCGGCGTGCAGGGACGCGCATTCAATGGCTCCTCGAGGACATAGACGGAGTGCTTTCCGAATCCACTCCTCGGCCTCCATTGTTCTGTTAGTGAGACTGTAGAGCAACGCGATTTGCCGGAGTCCGTCACGGAAACCGGCGTCGGCCAGAATCGCTTGCTGAAGAACACGTTCGGCGCCGTCCATATCATCTATTTGCATCAACATCTGTGCCTGCAAAACAAAGTACATTCACGACAACCGTTGGAGGAAATCGGCCAGAGAGGTCACGCAGATGAAAGAGTTATGCAAGCGTCGAATGACTGAACGAAAACGCCAAGCCCGAGACGAATCATTACAGGGACAAGAGGACCCTTTGCGTGACGATTGCTCCGCAGGGGTCGAGAATGGTCCATTGGGAAAAACGTTCTACCGGCAAGAGAGCAATGTTCGAATTTTGGTTGACTTCACTCGAGCACTCGATGAGGAGGCAGCGAAGACGAGGAGTTTTTCTCTTATCCTATTTTTTCCAGAGTCGGTGCTACAAAACGTAAGACATCGAGCCAAGTGGCTCTTCTGCCTGAGTGGTGGATGTCCACAATACAAAAGACACTTGAATCAGAGATTGATTCAAGAAGCTTTCTTTCTCTCCCCTCGACCTCCTTATCATACATCCATTTCCTCTTCTTCCTGTACCTCCGTCTGCCTCGTGACCGACATCGGGTACTTCAAGCGAGTCCTCGCGCAAAACAGGGCGCTGTTCGAGTGAGCTCGGAGGAGACGAGGTTCTGATTGGAATTAGGGGACACCCGATGAGAGACCGTGCAAGGAGAGGAAAAACCGACTTGCGATCGAACAAGGCACCCAATGGACCGCCCTGAGTAGCTAGAGATGCACGAGAAAAAAATATGGGTGAAATGTCAAACGAAGCCGCTACAAAAATCAGATCGACGAAGTCGCTCAGCACGGAATCCTCTAGAAGAAAAAAAGAAACGGAACAGAATTTTCTCTCGCGGTGCCAGGACCGAATCGAAGCGCGTCAACTCACATGGTGAAGGCGGCTAGTCAGGTATGACGGATGATCGCGGGAAATTTTCACGAACATTTCCTCGGCTTCCGCGAACCGCTTCGCTTTGGCGTAAAGGACCGCCAGCTGGTCCATGACCCAGGGGTCGTGTTCCAGGGTGAGCGCTCTAAATGACAGAGAAAAGCAAAACGTTAGTTGGAAACGACAAAACAACGCATTTTCTCCGAACCGACGTGTCGTGCTCCGGCTGCCACCGCCCGGCTGTAAACTTCTCGAGTTCCCGCCCAGTTCTGCCTTTTCAGTATTCGACCGACGACGTCCCTCGTCTCGTGACTCTCGCCGCGTGCTCCCACCCTTGGAGCTCGGACAACGATCTCTCTCAACGAAGAGCCTCATAGCATCTGCTCGGGGTTGAGGTTTCTCCCCTCGACACCGATCCTCACTGTGAGGTTTCCTCCCTGAAAAACCCTTCGGGACGTCGAGCCAGCGACTCGCGGTTGGGCGATCATCGCGAAGTCTCCCTGCCACGACGGCGAATAGCTAGTCTACAGCGAGGCTCGATCAACGGCATCGAGCTTTCCCTCTTAGTTAGTCAACTCAGCGATAGGGCTTGACCTCCGAGAAGTTCGTGCCTTCGACGGCTGATGATGGAACCCGCTGACCTCGAGAAGAGCCTTGCGAAAGATGGCCATGAGCCATGATGGAGGCCGATTTGCCAGCTGCGGGGAAGCCCTTCCCCGGGGAAATCCATCCCCCAAGGACCCGGAAGGAAACAGAGGGGAATTACAAGGTGGAGGCAATTTTTCCCGGGTGCTCGGACCAGAGCGATGACCGTCAGTATACATGACGATGAGAGCGTCGCGGTTTGGTCCAGGTTCCCGAAGGGATCCGGACCGTCGTGAGGTCACCATATTATTCCCCGGGCGAGGTCCCCGACGAGAGTGCTCTGCGTGAATCGGTGTCCATTCCGACCAGCTGACTCCAAACACGGAGCGAGACGGAATTCCCCGGTCGTTCCCGTTCGTTGTGGATTCGCGAGGCCCCCAATCGCCCTGTCCGGAGCTCCGGTTGCTGGGAGATGTCCAACGCTCGGGCTAATCGGCTACTAAGCAGTCACAATTGTTCCTCGACTAAGGTGGTAACGGTTATGACGACCGCTGCAGTGACGGTCATCATCTAAGCCAATCTGTGGCCAACCCACTTCCGCCCATAAGTGATGACGTATCCATGTCACAAGGCAGTAAATCCCGGCCGAATGAATGAATGAGCGAACGAACGCTCAAACGAATGTCCGCCGCTGGAGGGATGAGGAACGAGGGGAGTGGTGTTCTCTTTCTCTTAGTGGAGCACAGATTAACACAATGATCCGTACGACTCCACCCGCGACCGCTGGATGGTGGTTGGAACGATCGGCTGACCACGTCTTCTTTCTCGGACAGCGATCGGTCGCTACGGCGCCCGCAACGGCTGTTTCAGCTGCTAAGTCAGCATATCCGAAATGCATCCAATCATCAGTAGGCCCATCCCGCAAAGCTGTTGCTGAGACGCCGAACGCTCGCTCGGCCGGTCGGTAGCGCTTCTCGTTCCTCCGGCTCCCGCACATTTCGGCTTGCGGCTTCATCCGTGCAGCCACAATTGCCCAACTGCGGGAACAACACGGAGGGAAACATAAACCAGTCTCGTTCGATCCAGTGTTTTTCTACCCTTGAACGGCAACCCGACGACGCTGAAAACTCTCGCGCTCGACTGCGAGCGTGCGGCAGATCCTGTGATGGCTCCCCGGGCGAGCGGGAGGCTCGCTTTTGAAGTGGAGTTTTTCCAGCTCGATATTTCGCAATGACCCGTGAGCCCGTACCGAGTCATCATCGGGGAACAGAGTCGTCGCGAGGCTCTCGAGGATCGCGCGAAGAAAAAATTGATCGGGGGAATCTTTAATCGTGTGGAAAAAAGAATCGGAACGGAGCCATGGCCTATTTGTCCGTCACTCGAGCGAACAAGAAAAAGCGACTCGACAAATGTGCCCGAGATCGAGTGAGACAGCGGCAGCTGGACGGCGAGGAGGACACTATAGACCGACAACTTGCGGCGGCCACTCAGCGGTTCGTTAGCATTGAGGTGTGCTCGGAGCACCTCGACGACGAATATACTGTGGACCTATTTTGTGAATTCGTCGCCCCGTCCCGAGAGCCTGGCGGCGAGTCGCCCTCGGTCGTTGTCTCCGTAGTGGGGGCACAACGACTCTTTTACACTGGTCCGTCGGTGTCGTCCTAGCGGGAGTGGAAGCGAATGGGGGGCTGAGTTGAGGTACAGCCGATTCACGAGAGATCCGGCGAGTGTCGACGGGCAGGGAAACAGGGGACGGAGGAGGATGCACGCAGGCGAGCAAGCAGACAAGGGAAGCGAATGGAGGACCTCCGGGAGCCACAAGGACACGAGTGCAGCCAATAGATGAAGACGCTTGTAGTAATGAAATTATGGTTCCCCCGCGGCAAGGCGCCAACACCACGAAGACTACCGCCACCGGCACGTAATGTTCTGCTGGCATTGCATTTATTCTCCTAGATGACTAGTCTAAATGTCGCTGGCGTCGTACTTGTGCTGCTTCTCCTGCTCTTGTCTTAGCTCGCTATGCTTGATCGGAAATTACGTCGCCCCCATTCACGCGGTTCTGCTCATTGACGAGGAAAAAGTTCGCTATTAGGACTTTGCGCACCAAGGAGTCGAGTCGAAGCCAGTGCCGTTGACATGACACGTCACTGACCCATTGCTAGCGACGGATAGCCTACGAGTTCGGACCCTGAGCACATCTCAAGCGTCGCTGTTCGGCGGGATTCGATCGCTTCGCTTTTCCTACCCGGTCTACTCGCAAACCCCATCTGGAGGACACGGTCCGCCGCATTCACGAAGTGCATCAGAGAGCCAATTGTGTATGACGTTCGAAAAACCGAGTCACAGCTCGAACTGCAGCCACTCGGTGACGCGACATATCAGAGGAGGACACACGCTTGCGTTGCGACTTCCCCCGTCCTCGTGTCGTTTCTAGCCCCTAAGGCTTGCCAGACGATCGGTCGGCTTTCTAGTCGGTCGGATTCTACCGTGATACGAACAGCCGAGCCCATGCGCTATTCGGGGCTCGGCTTCGCGGGGTGCGGTGCGTAAAATGACCCAGAACCATTTGAGCAATTGACTCTGAAGCGGAACGCACCACGTTTTACGTTGGATGGCTATCCGCTAATGATAGAAGCCGTCGGCCATATCCGTCCGACTTCGAAAAAAAACGCGCGTTAAGCCCTTTCGTCACAGATGCCGCAACGAAGGAGGTGCCCGAAACAGGCCCTACCGCTCCGCGCCCGTGCCGAGAGACTGACCGGATACGCTCCTCGACTCCTTCACCAAGTGTGGGTCGGTTGTCGACGATGTGACCGAGCGTTGTATTTTGTCAATTTCACGGTCGGAAATTTTAGAACTGCAACGATTTTTATCGCATCAATCGGCACAAAAGTGCGAAAGCGGGGAATTCCCCTGAACTGATGTACAGGTGGTGCTGGAACTTTGACCAGGCGTTCCGTTCTAATTGATCTCTGGCGTCCTCGGTTACACAGAAGTTTGAACGAGACCTCCTAGTGGCGCTCTCGAGTTGGACGTGATGCGACGTCACTGCTACCGGTCGTGATCCTGACCAGGTTCCGAAATAGAGCGTGTTTCTTCGAAAGGGCAATCCATCTTTCGAACCAATGGGAACGAACTCAAAACAGCGAGTCGCGGATTCCGAATCAAATAGGAAACTTCGCCCGGGTGGAACGGTTCCGCGCCCGCTCGTCCCTCGCAGCAACAAAGACGACAATCTTCCCGTTGCCCAGACGCCCCGGCCGTCGTGGTCGGAGTCGATTAGTCCAGGGCACTTCCCTCCAAGCGGAGATACCTCCGACTATTCTGATGCAGCGATCGGCCACAAATCTCTAGTTTTGCCGCCGCAGCAGCACGAGGCGGCTCCTCGAGCGGCTGTCGTTAGGGAATTCCTTCGCAGGGTTGTCGTCTGAAATTAACTCAGCCTCGTGTCGGGATCATCTTATTTTAAACGTCGCTTAAGAGAGCACCACCGCGTGCTTTTCTGCATTGGCCGACCATCGCCCGATAAACTACCACTGGCACTGTAAGCTTCCCGCAGCTGGCTCTGATGGGCCACCCCCGGCGGGCATTGATTCCCTTAACGTGTTTGCACGTTGCAAATGACATTGACGGCTCGGTTGAAATAGGCCGGTCGATTTCGGAACGGGAGAGAACCTGCATACGTTCCTTCGAATTTGAAGCGTTTTCGCTCCATTCTCATTCGAGCAACAACTCACCGACGGTAGAGGTCTTCAGCTTCCTGGTCGATGTGGAGTTTTTTCATCGTTTCGGCGGCGTTCACTATCGCCGCTGTGTTCGTGGGCTCCAGGGCGACGGCCCTCTTATACTGTTCGGAAGCTTCACGCAGCCGACCTGGAATCAAAAACGAGCGTGAGTTGGAAAGAGTTCGGAAAAAGCCAACTTGTCCGATATCTTCGTTGGAGGGAATTTTCGTGGCGATCCTCGAGTAGCGATCTTCCTCGATCGAGCCCGGGATGCTCCCGCGATTTTGTTCCATCTGTCCTCGTGGGTGCAGCACACTCGAGGCAGAGCCTTGTATCATGAATCTTGACAAGACAATGGGGTTCGCTGTTCGGGGCAAAATACAGCATCGACCGATCCACGATCGCGAGCCCTCGCGGATATCGCATGACAAAGCAGCGAGTTGTGGTTCGCTTGCCGCCGTGCTCGTTCGAGCAACCGACCAACAAACCTTCGCGCCAACTCAATCGGTCGCGAGTTCTTTTGTGCGTTTGTCCGCCCGCGCCGGAGGACTCCTCGGAGCACCTATTAGGCAAGAGATGCAGGATACAAGTTATCCGCCATCTGTCGCGAAACAGCTGTTGGATCTCATGGGACAGACATGGGAACAGAAGTATTCGTCGAGCGCCAATAATAGATATTGACTCTGAATGGACCGGACCCCGCCCATCTCGGGGAGCCTGTACCCGGGCTGCCAGAATTCGTCACCGGTTTCCAGCTCATCGCGAGTGGAGAATGCGATGACGGGGAAGAGCGGGAAGGAAGATTGGGATGAACTGAGGGAAGTACGGGACTGGACTGGCGGTAGGGAGCCCACAGGCTAGCGAGGGTCGGGAGATTCTGTTGGAACTGAATCATACTGTTACGAATAGTTCTGTCTAGCACCGCTCGACCAAACGAGCGGACGATTTCGGTATGGTTCCGAGGCAGAATTCGCGTCGTGACAACTATCCTCATATCAGAGGAGCGGCGGATAAGGGTCGGCCGGGATCGATTGGAGCCAAGCATGCAACATGGATGTGGGCATCTGCATAGCGATGCTCTTTTGCCGCGTAGTAGAATATTCACCCGATAATCGGGCGTTAGTTGGTCGCTGCGTTCCCGGCCGGCGCTGCCCCCCCCCCCACAACAGGAACATGAGGAAACCCTGCGGTCGACTGGGGTCAATGCTATTACCATAACACCTAGGAGAGCAAGCTCCTTGTGCTGAGAGCTGCAGGCAGATGTGAGCCCCTCGTTGTGTTGATGATGCTGACCTGTGGCGGCTCCGCACGCCCGGAACTGTCTTGACTCGTTACGAAATTCGAACAGCTTGGTACTCCGCCGCGATGATTAAGAAGGGCGTTTCCTTGCCGTCAGATTCCAGCGACGATCTTCGATGGATGCGACGCTGCCTTCGGAGGAGCCTTCGTTCGCTCTTCCAGGAGCGGAGAAGCTCTCGAAAAGATTTTGCCGTGTCCCGGAAGAAACTTTCCCGATTCATTTCCGAAGAGCTCCTCATGAAATCGTTTTGAGGAACGAATTTCTGCAGGGCATCCGATGACTCGGAGCATGTCTTCAGACAAACGATGCGTGATAAGCTCGCCGAGAGCCCTGTGAACCTCGCCGTTTGCCTCGAGGGTGCTCTGTTCCGACAAGATTATGCAGAGGAATCGCAGATAGAGGCATTCCGGAGGTGCATAGCCGGAATAGGGTCACGCTCTCTCGCGCAAGCTCGGCTCCGATTGGGGGTGAGCCTTGATCGGCTGGTCTAACATCCAGGCTCCAAAGTGCTGACTATATGTACATACGAATAGGCCCGAGAAATGTATCGCTCCGCCAAGTTCCACCTGCGATGCCGCGTCAATTTCCTTCCTGCATTCGGCCGCCAGCATCGAAAATTCAAATTCTCTGAAGCTGACTCCGGGCTCGTCCCGCTGTGATTGTGCTGCGACTGCCCTTGTGCAATAGCACCTCGATTTGCTTCCGTGAGACAGTTCCTTCGGCAGTACATCATTCCTGTACCCATTTTTCAGTGGAACGAGTTAGTCCGTTTCCTCTGTTCGCTTCGTTTTGTATCTGTTGCGTCCGGACTCGTGCGTTAAATGAGCCTTGAAAGAAGGCGAATCTCCCCTTTCGGCCCTCCTCGGCTACCGGAGGGCCAGGCGACGTGGTGGGAAAGAGCAAGCGAGCGAGCCAGTTTTTCCGCGAGACGAGCCATAATAAGCCCCGTATAAGAAGCTCAATTGTTTAAAACGATAGAAATGCAGCGCCTCCCTCTGCGAACGTGCTCAACGGTCCGTGCCCTCGAGGCACTCCAGCTCCTCCGATTTTTTCCGCATGTGACATTTCGAGAAGGGAGTCGAGAAACACAGAAATAGGATCTCGAGACATGTGGATTCAAGGGAGGGAGACTCTCGCCCACGGACGATTGAACGGAATTGGAAAGCGAAATCCCAATCCACATAACGGTATTGCGATATACGGCTTCAAGCAAGTCCCTGGCCGGCCCAAGCGACTCGAATCCCCCTATGGCTCATACGTACTATGTGGGCACCTCTCGATTCTTGTCCCTCTTATCTCGTGCAATGTGACGAGCAGAAGGAACGAGAGGAAGAAACGGGAGCCGGAGGAGAGGCCGAATAGCCAGGGAGACGGTTATCTGACATTGCGTAGTGTTCGAGTCAAAGTTTAGCGCAGTAAATCACTGTAGTAAAGCAGACGGAGAGGAGCACACAGAGATACTGGCGAAAGGTCCCAGGTGGTCAGCAGGTGGCAGCTGATCGGAGGAGAGATGGTGGACCTCGCTGCTTGCGCTCTTCTCGACGACCCTCGCTGCTTCTCAGAGAGATGACTGTAGGTGGAAATCCCTCACCGGAGCCCTTGCAGGGGGACAGGAACAGCAGCAGCAGCAAGAGTCGAGAGCGACGTACCGAGTTGATACGTGTGATTAATGTTGCCTCCTCCGCCTTCTTAAGCCAGGCTGCAGTGAGCTAGCGTCTTGCAACTCGGCAACAGCGGCGGGCAATGAAATATGAAGTCCTCGCTCCAAGTTGCGCGACAAGGCTGCGCGACGCCGGTTCCGACTGACACCGTTCTACGTGTTCGGCTCTCTCGGGGTTCCTTGAGCGGCGCCGAACGACGAGCGAACTAGGTGCTTTAATGCTCCACGGAGCACAGTTAGTGCTCAATGCTTACTCACCTTGGTCATGAAGGAAGCTCGCATAGTTGTTCCGAATAGGTGCACTCTCCGAGTCGAGTTCGATGGCTTTGCGGTGAAGTGGTTCGGCCCGGCCGCAACGTCCTTGGAGGCATTCGAGGTCGGCGAGCGATGACACAGCATCCGCCAACGACGGCTCCAGTATGAGACTGCGTTCGAGGAGGGCCCTCGCGAGCTCGAACTGACCTCTCCTCCTGAGCAAGGTGGGAGACTGATTAGGAAACTTTCAGATCATGTCGTCGACAAGGAGGATTTTCGTCGTTCCGTGCAACGTCAGAAGGGTGATTCCGCAGGAGATCCCGCAACAAAACCGACCTGTAGAGCATTCCCAAATTGTAGTGAGCTCCTGCGTGATTCAGGTTGATACCGATAGCCTGGCGGAAGTGCTTCTCGGCTTCGGAGGAGGAATCGACGACCGTTCCCAGATTGTTGTGTGCGGACGCATGGTTTGGACATAGACTGGAAGGGAAGAATATTGTTTTTAGGCCCAGCCACACCGTAACGTGCACCCAAACACAGCCTCGAATTCTTCAACCCGAAATCTCGAAGGGGGTCTCCCTCATATTCTCGGGTCTTTTGGAGTTAGGAGTCGGTCACTTCGTCCATCTCCATCACACCGAGGGTCTGAACGGCGGAAAATATGTTTTTTCTTCCCCACATCATCGGTGCTCGCGGGCTCTGATGATCGAACCAACCCAGGTTCTTGAAGTCAGCGGGAAAGTGGCTGGCCGCCGACTACATAAGTGGATTCTATCTCCGCTGCTCTCCTCGATATTTCCTATCTCGCCCGGCCGCTTGTGAGGCTCGGCCGCTGAAAACTAAGAAGCTCAAGCGGAAAATCTTCCTTTTTCGAACCCGTCGGTCGACCGCTAAGACAGAGAGACACTGCGGAAGGAAGGGAATTTAATCTCTTTGTCCGAGATTCTGCGGCAGCCGCCGGAGCTTTTGGTCAGCAGACTCGCTCCTCTGAGGACACTGTTCAACAAATCGGGTCTTGGAGCTCCCAAGTGACGCCGAGGACGAGAGTATAGATCCCAAGAATCAAGAATGCTATCGAGCGAAGAAGAGCGGAGTCCAGCGACGACCACCACGGAAACTGACGTGGAGACTAGCTTTGAGTCATACACGAGTGATAGGCGGTGGGTAAACGATGATGCAGCTCGACATTCCGCGCTCGAATGTTGGCGCGCAATGTTCCCCCTTCCCCCCAACGGGTGGAGAGGAGGGGGGGGATAATTATCTCACACCCGCCCACTCCACAAAAGGTCGCTCAGCTGTTGGAGCTCAGGAGGGAAAACGAGAGCGCTTTCTTTTCCGCCTCACTCGTAGCTCTGTACCGAGAGCTCTACCGAAGGACGCAGGAGCAGCCGCCACGGCGAGCAGCGGAAATCTGATAAAGAACTCGGACGCTGGCGAAGTTCCGAGCAAGAGAGGTGGCCCGGGAGAATCGACCAACTGATTTAGTGAGGCGAGCCGGCAGACAGGCAAGCGGTTGCACGGCCGCGGTCGGTCTCTTTGCTCAACCTTACTGTGCGACCGTCGTCGGTCCGAGCGACCGGTCAAGCAGTCAGACGGGAGAAAAGAGTCTCATGCCCTCCTTGAAGACCCCGGCCGTTTCCGCTTATATAGGTAGGAGCAAAAAGGACCTTCGTACCCTATTTTCTCCGTTGGTTCATTTTGATTTCCCGGCCCCTCGTCCAGCGACCACCGCATCGCAGCAGCCACCTTGTTCTCCAACATCCTCTGTTCAGGAAGCTGAAGTGGCCGGTGAACTAGCGTTGACCCCCCGCTAGTTGGCTTCGTATCTGACGCCTGCTGCTCCACTCTTTTCACTTCCGCAGGACTTTTTCCCCGATGTGGAGAACTCTTTTTGCAATCGCTCCTCGACAGCGAGGGAATCGCAGAAGTGACAGACTTCTGCTGTTCCGCCCCATGAGGCTGCGGGATATTGAGCATGTCCCGGTCAAACGTTCCGGCGGTGGTAATCGCCGCTCCGCGGGCTAGAATTCACCATCATAAAATCTCTCAGCCCTCGGGTCGAACTGGAACTTCGGGCGGATCGCCACAATCTTGCGTTCTCAAGTGCTGAGAGCCGGTTATCTGCGGCACTTTGGGTGCTTGCATATCATATGTATTGTGTGTTGTTGTTTGGCTCACAATCAGCCAGTTTGACTCTATACAGCGACTGGTAAAATTAATTCTGGAAAGGCATCTACTCACCACAATGCTATCCGGTAGTGTTTTCTGGCGAGATGAAATCTTCCTTGATCTTTTTGAAGGTTGGCGTAATTATAATGCATTTTGCAGTTCGTGGGTAGCTCCCGAACTCCGGACCTGATCGAGAATGGGAAGACTCGTCAGTGGAATTCGGAGTCTCTGAACGAAATTCTCCCCGCCGCAGAAGTGAAGGCAACCATCAGCGTGGGACCATCTCCATGACGACTCGAGTCAGGGAGAATATGGTTCTAATTATGGCGGAAAGTACTCACTCGAAGAGTGTCGCACGGGAGCGCCAAACTTGATTTCGTCGAAGGGTACGCGCGGCATGGGCGACAACAAAAGCAATAACGAAAATCAAGAGGATCTTCTGGCAGCGCTTCGAATCACAGGATCGCAATTTACAGTAGTTGAGAGTGCGCCGGAAGCCCTCCACCACCAAGAGGCAAAAGCCCATACTCGGGATGTAGAGAACACGCTCGGCGACCACGAAGCCGACTGTCACGAAAACGTTTGACGCCGGCATGTACGAAAAACTCAACAACGCTACGCTCATCAACAACAAACTTGGACCACACTGCTGTGCTCGAGGAAAATCATCATTTTCTTCGGATGCTGAGCTTCTGACACTGCCCTCGGATCCACTGTCCTCGTGGTCGAGGGTTTCCGCTGAATCGTTTTTGTGCGTCACCCCATTGCCGAAGTCGTCGCTTACTATCAGCCATGCGACCTTGCTCAACGCCATCAACAGGGCGACAGTGGCCAAATTCCGCACATCCCACAGCGACTGGACGATCGGCACCGAGCCCATTTGCCAATCGTACGATAGAACGGCCGGATAGAGCATCAGACCGACGTTGAAGGCCGCAAGGTAGCTGTAGGTGAGAGTCCTGCAATGAAAAAAGAGGAAATTCATTACTCGCTCATGCCACTCGGGGACGAGCTCGGATTAATTATCGGCAGACTGAGACGGGAGCTCGGTGCGCGACTCAACATTTTTCTTTCTCCGGGCAGCGAAATGATGTGTATGGCTCGCGACTTCGGAGCCGTCGATTTTATGCTAGAAATCGGACTCCCCTGGGGGAAGAGGAAGCCATGAAATATAAGTGGCTCTGCACGTTCCGAATTGAAAAGAGAAAGATGCTTGACACGACAGCACGTTGCGCCAAAGAGTGGCACGATCCAGCCATAAGCCGCGCGCCAGCCAGGGATTTGAGTCGTCTGGTTCGCGGTTCGTTTTACCGCTTGATTCCGAGCTCTTCCCCCGGTGCTCCAACTCGACGCGTCTCCAGTCAGCCGGATCGTCTGCGAGCCTGTCTGCGAGCCGATTCGTCTTTTTTTTTCTGTCGTTCCTTGCTCACGAGTAAATCCGTTGGAATTCGAGGATGGAAAGGAGGAAGTAAGCAAAGAAGAACGGAACGGAAGGCAAGCGGGCTTGTCGAAGGACGAATCCCTGTTCCCTGCTCGTCGCGGCACCAACTGAGACGGGGAAAACTCGGGGACGCAAAAAACGTAGGGGACGAAGGATCGGTACGAATGGATGTACGAAGGGACGGAGACGACGGGACGAGACGACAAGGAGACATTTCTTTTGGCGGCAGCGGCGTCGACGAGCATTCGGTGGCGTAGCGCAGTGAGGATCGGGGACAGGAATTGGGAGGGGGGGGGGGAAGTATCGCACTGCGCGCATAGCGCCGAGAGGGATAGATGGAGAGGATACATCGGCGCAAGAAGTATCCGACGATCTGGCCGCATTCTCAGCTGTTCCTCTCAATCGACAACGGCATCCGTTCGGTAGGAGACTGCCGGAACGAACATTCGGCTGAGCGATGCTCGAGAACTAAAAGAAAAGCGAAAGTGGAGCACAATCTCACAGAGGATTGTGTCCTCGGATTCTTCTTCGAGAGAAGTCCAGTGTCTATAGGTCCTCCAAGTTTTCAGATTTGCTGGTCTCTCCTACGAAACGACTCAAAGGGTGTGATTCGTCTCGTAGGGAGTTTTCAGGAAGGACTTTACCAGAGCAGGAAAATCTTGCAATTCATCCGAACGGACCCGGGAAGATTCCCCTGCGAGTATCCCAGGAGGTGTCATGCGAATAAACGGAGGACCTCTGCAGCTGGTGGAACCACACCGTGATTTCTCTCTCCCCTCAATCTCGGAAGTGATGCCCAGTGCCTCGTCTGATGGCTTCTCGAGACTGCGATAAGATGAAGACTGACTCTCCGCCCGACCGAGTGAACTAGGCAGTGCCATGGATCGCTATAACAGCAACAAAAACAAAACACATTCGGGAAACGGATCACCAGACGTCTTCTTTCTTCCCGGCAGCGACGCCGACGTCACCGCTGCGGGAAGAGAAAACACGACGTCGGAAGAGAGGACGGGCTCGTTCTCTACCCGAGGATGGAGGGACAAGGGAAAGCGAGCAGAAAACCCTGGGAAAGACGACGGCCGAAGGAAGCGAGAATGTCGGGGAGGACAAGGGAAACAGGAAAAGGGCAACACGGAAGACAGCCAGGCAAGAAACGCACCGGCGATCACGCGAGCCCGAGAGAAAGAACGAGAAGTCGACTTCCGTTCAGTCAGTCGGCCGTCTCGACAGACAAGCTCGCAAGCGGGTGGGCAGGCAGGTAGCTGGCAAGGCAAAGCGGGAGGATGTGGCAAGAGACGAGCGAGATCGAGGGGGGGGGGCCAGGCGGAATACATGCACGGAGCAAACGAAATGGCGAAGCCGGAGTCAGTCGCTACAGCGAATAGTCGAACGAGCGACTTCGCAAGAAGAGCTTCCCGAACGCTTCCCACCAGACAGAACAGTTCCTCTGCAGAAAGAACCAGAAAGACGACTGAAGGAATAAGGCGAGAGAAAATAGACGCGATGGCGCTGCAAGACGAGCGCCTGACGTACCAATTAGGCAAGGCTCTGATCCGAGACGACTCGTTGAGAGTATGGCAACAGGAAGTTTTGAAGCGACAGTTGCCATTGTAGATCGAAAAGGAATCCCGAACCATGCTAATCTCCAACTACTGCCAACACAATGACGCAGAATCTCAGCTGGGATTGGATCAATGGATGGAGAGCTACCATTGGAGATTTTTTTGCTTCTCATTAACGCCTGCCAGAGACCAGCGCTGTGAGTGGAACACGCGCGCCAAGTCGGGAATGCGGGAACGCGGTATCAAGAAACAACAAACTCGAGTTCGGGAGTGAGCACAGCTGCAACACGGAGCTTTTTTTCCGCTTCGTCCGAAACAGAAAATGAGGACTCAGCCAGATCGGATTATCGTTCAGCAAACACAGTGCGTCTTTTTGAAAACATCGAGTCTCTGATTGAAATTCGAGACAACATGTCGCGGGCGAGATTGAAATGAAGTGCATGACGGAGCGACACAACGATAGACGTCACGGGAGCGCGCACCGATCGCTACGACAAGGGAATCGATGACGTCCTCCATGGCGGGAAATTCTTCCAATGGAACCTTATGCATATATATATGGAGATCTCGCATTAAGGAGTCTATGAGATCCAGAGACTCGGAAGATCGCGTCGATCGCCCATGCAGCGTATGCCGCAACCAGAGAATCGGTAGCTCCCGGACATCATTCGGGGTTCACATGGCGAGGTTTAAATCAGGCACCGTCTCCATGGAACTTGCTGATTCTACGCTGAGTGTATGCAGATGAGTCAGGAGCGGAGGAGCACTCAAACTCGTGTTCTGGGAGGCGCAGCAGAACTCCGCAGGAATCTGCAGCCGGGCAGCGAACAGATGTTCGTGTGGTCTTCGGAGAGGCACAGATTCAGCATAGCCGAATGCTGCACTGCAAGTTCGGAATGCGGACTGGCGGAGCGGGGTGTGGCGGGCCGGGTGATGGAGAGGGGGCGGCGGCGGCGCGGCGTGCTCATACATTTATGAAGATCAGAACGGAGCCGGCGCAACAGATTCTTGCTTGAATTCGTTAATGAAACAAATGGAGGGGAATCCATTTCCAGAAGACTGCAGGATCTTCACCGGGGGGAGGATACTTCTGCGGGGGGAACCTCTCAGAATCCTTCCGATTGCGGCTACTCCCACCTCGGAGTTTTGAGTTGGATAGTCCCTCCAGCATTCCCATGCTGCTCCCTGCGGTAGCGGCACATTTTATTCGAATAGCCATAGGCAGCCCGGGCGTGTGAGCGGACGAGGACTTAACAGGGCCAGCTATTATCACGCGGCAATCCGAACGAGCCCGCGACGGTCCGGAATAACCCAGCTGTTCAGCAAACGCTCCCTCGTTACAGGATTGAGCCATTACGGCCACTTAGAGATAACTTCAACGAGAGAACCAGCTTCCAGCTGAGAGGGAAAAGTCAGGACACGATTGTCTGAGTGAACGGGAGACGCTCCGCCTCGTGCCCTAGCGGTTTTCTCGCTGCCGGAATAAGGTCAGCGCCGAACCCCAATGGCAGTCGGTTCCGCTATCTCAGATATTTTCCCCCGGTCCCTCCGGTCCTCCGGTCGATACTCGGCCGTTCTCCTTCCCTCCATCTCCGTCAGAGGAGTTTGGTTTTTTTTTTCTCATGACCCCGACAAGTTTTCTCGAGCAGCCAGCATGATCTTGCTCTCTCCCGGTCAAGCCGGAGCCCGTACACTTCGCTACTAATTGTCAGCTCGGCCGCCTCTCCCCAGGGCCCTGAGCCTCACACTCTCGCCGACTATCTGTGTTCTCCTAACCAGACTACTTATCCGTTTGGGTCCTGGCACCAAGCGGGGCCCTGCAACTCTTTACTTCGAGGTTCGAGGTTCTCCGACCCTCGTCTCTCTAACAGGACACGCTGCTCCCTGCGGTCTTCGCGCGAGCCGAATCCTCTGGCTCCCTGCGGTCTCCTTCTCGAGCCAAGACTCAAGACCCTCGGTTGCTAATTGTCAGTTTTGTGGTCCTCTCCGCCAAAGGAAACCCCGCGCTCTCTGACGTTCCTCCTGTCGAGCGGGACGTTTCCTGTGTTCCTCCAGGTCCCCCACCCGGAAGGCAGCTCCACGATCCTGTAGTTCCGCTGCTCGGTGCGTAGGTAATTGTCAGCTAATCTATTGCGTGAGTCGTACGTGAAACAAGTTACAGAGCGCAGGTAGCTGTGACGGCTAACCGAAGGGCTCCTCCCGGGCGTATTTCTCGCTCGCGTCACCATTAGTGCTTTCTCGTCTCTTCAGTTCTTCTGATGCTCTCTATCAGCGCCCCCCAGCAGCTCTTCTCTCCATCGTCTTCTCGGTCGTGCCGCTGCTCGCGATAATTAGAAGCTAGCCAAAAAATGGGCTTCTCGCAAAAAGCCATCCTTCGACCGCCGGGCCTGTATTTCTATCACAGTACACACACCTGCCGGCGAGCCGAATACTTTTTCTTCGTCTCCGGCTCTCGTTCCGTCTCCCTGACACGATCCGCCCAACTTAAGGTTTTTGCCGTATTTCGCCGTGTATACTCCCTCGATTCATCCCTGTTGCAACAACTGCTCCCGTCGAGTCGCAAACTTTCCTATCGGAGACGGCTCCCTTGTTTCCCTTCAGGGTCGGAGCCCATCGGAAATTCGGTTAGTAGCGTTTGCCAGGGCGTAATTCTGTCCCGTAGCCGTCGACGCCTTCGAACGTTTATTAGTAGCTCTCGTAGTCGCTTCCCCCGATGCACAAGGAGTCTTTTGAGGGGTCGGAGGATCACGGCGAGACACCGAATCGTAGACGGAAAGGAGGAAAATGAAGACTTACCGAGTCAGGAAATGAGGCTCGTACGATGCGGGATTGTCGTGCTCCGAAAACCTCGGTAACGTCCCGTTATGCAGCATCACTCGGTAAGCCATGAGGGCGGAGAACTGAAAATGACCGCAGTTTGATTATCACATACGGAAGTAGGCAGTTTCTCGCGGAATCGACGTGCACGAAGGAAATGGAGCCCTGCGACCAGCAGCGGGTCCAACAGCGAATAATCGAAACTCACCGTGAAGCAAGATGTGAACACCAGTTCATCATTTGTGAACGCGTACAGGATCCGATGGATTACGCTGTAACTGAGAAATTCGACTTCCATTAGGCGCCAGTTTCAAAACGTCGCAATCGATGTCCTACAGGACAGATCGAAACGCGAGACATCGACGTGAATATCCATCGCGTGAACGCCTGAAGTTGTCATGACGCTTCGTTTCCAGATTTCTCTGCTTCGTCTCGAAATTCAACGACGCCGTATCGAGTATTCTCGGCCTGGGCCTCTGGTTCTCCGACAGACATTTGCATTCAAGTTCTTCCCGTCAATCTAACCAGGAAGCGATCTATTGTAAATGATGATGATGACGACGATGGATACAATGCCCATCGATATATCATCTCGGCCGGGGGAACCTTCTACGAACATCGATGAGAATTCCACGATCAAAAACAATGCATGGGAATGCGATGGCGCCCCGAAAAGACCCGTGCAGTGACACGCGAGCTATTTCGGTAGAGAGACCGACCACACCAATGACGGAATAACATTCCTCCTCCTCCTCCTCCTCCTCCTCCTCCTCCTCCCAATTAGTCGTTCTCGCATCCAACACGGGTCAGTCGCGTTGCCGAGGAATCAGAGTCCGCTCTCGGCACATCTCTGACCCCACGCGAGACAGTCGCGGAGGAGTCCGAACGAGAAGGAGCCGATTAGAGGAGGACGGAAAAAGTATTTGTCAATCTTCGTTTGTTTTAGATCACACGCGACACAAAGGTCTAGCGGTCTGTCTGCCAGCTGAGTAACCAACCGATCCGGGTTGAACGACTACAGAAGTTGCTCTGTCTGACTGACTGATTGCTCGCTTGTTCCCAGGCCCGCTCGCTCCCACCCCGTTCCTCAGCCTGCCTTTGTACCAGCCTGCCTGACTGACTGTCGTACGTATGTTAAGTTGATTGTCCGATACGCAGCAGCACGCGGCCTACGTTTTCAACTCCTAAAGGAGTGTTTACCTTGCAGCGTGTCATACGTGACGTTCGAATGCAGAGCCGAACACAAGCGAGCGAGCGACCGAGCGGGTGGGCAGGCAAGCAAGCAGACACCGAGCCAGTCATGCGGGTGGATAGGAAGGCGGGCGGACGAGCGGGTAGTGTGCGGGTGGCTGAGCGAACAAGCGGACGGGCGTGCAGGCAGGCAAGCGAGCATGCGAATCGCCGTCCATCGAACAAGCCAAACCGAAGCTGAGTGGCCGAGATGTTAGATCGGAACGTAAATAATTCACTTGCGGATGTCTCGTGTAAAATATGCACTCGATGCAGTCTAATGACCAAAAACAAACAGCTATTACGAAAGTATGTGGAGACCTTCAATTGCCGGAGCTGTTGGAGGAAGCGAACTGTTTCTCCTGTTTTTTTGCCGGCCCATCATTCTGCGACTCATCCGTAAATATGTATGTACGTATGTAAGTAGGCAGGTAGGAGGGTACGCTTCTGCAAGTCAAGGCCTACATCCGATCGGGAATTCTCTTCTCATTTCATTCGGTTTCTGCTCCCGATTCCTATCTAATCCCCCACCGTCGACGTCTCGAATCATCAGCTCCTTGCTCGGCTCTCTTCACGTCTCTAGGTGCTGAAGGGGAACCTTGTTCACAACTTCATTTGTGTTCATCTGTTCGCGACGTCTTGGGGACGTCGCGTCGTTCCCCAAACTTTTACCCTCAGTGAGAATAGTGACGTGGGAAACGTGCACACGGCTAAGGAGGAGTGATGCGAGACCGAACGGGACGTCATGTCAAGACTGAATCGTGGTCAGATTCGCTCTTACCATTTGTCTTCGGTGCCCCGCTTGCAGAGAATCGCGAGTCGGTATAGCACAAATAGTCCAAGGACGGTTATTCCCTGCTCCTTGCTGAAGAGTGCCAAGGTCGCGAAGCCCATCGAAAGCCATAGTTTGACTTTCTGCTTCGGTTTGTCTTGCATCGGAGCGGAAGATACGAGATACGAAACGGGACTGCGTGTTTCGTTCACTTCGAGGGCCTCGTTGTCGCAGCAGTCAATAAATAACAGCAACGCCACGAGGAAGAATGTCGCACAGAGAAGATCCGCCCGTCCCACGATCGACGTCACCTGGAAAAGATCGCGGGAAATTTATTTCTCCAATAAGAACCCCGCCAGGGCTGCCATTCGGAGCTGGAAGACAACAGCTAGCTCCAACGGCATTCCCGCTCACTCACGACCTCTTCTCCTTCCCTCCGTCGTCTCTCTTTCATCATATCCGTACTTTCCCCTCTCTCTCCCTGGTCCGTTATTCCTTCACAGATCTAGCGCTGCTCCTCCCGATGATTTCGATCTACTTCCTCCACGAGCAGGTTCGTCTTCTCTTTTCCTCGTTTATTAGATACATATCGATATCGAGTTGCCGTTTATACTCCATTCTTCAATTTATCTCACTCAGTTCTAAACTTTCAATCAATTCATGATTTCGCTCGCTGCTCTCCTCCGTGGTCTCACAACTTCTCCTCCTTCTGTTCCCGCCCCGAGCGGTCGACTCATTCCTCCTGCTGAGGCTCCAAAATTCTCTCCCTGGTCGATGCCGTGACTGCCTCTCCTCCATCTCTCTTGGATCTTCACTTTCTTTTTATCTTTTCCCTCATTCTCCTTCTGTTGGCTGCCTCAATGTCGTTTTCGCTTCCTATTCTGCACGGAGGGCTTGGCTCCGTCCTTTCAGCGACCTCTAGCCCCATTTCTTCAAAAGTTCGGTTACACGGAGAACGATGACGACGAATCCGATGAAGAGAAGCAGAGGGGGAAAGAAGAACGTTCCGCGGCACGGGCGCTCGCGGAGAAATAAAAATGAGCCGGAATGAACGCAACCATTGAGCTCCATTGGTTTCTCTGTTTCGCTTTCAGAGACACACTCGGCCGCATGCTCTCTCGTTCGCACACACTTTCTGAAAGAGCGCGACTTTTCCGTCTCGTTCTCGTCGACGACACGTTTCCGCGCTTTTTAGTCGTTCACACATAGAGGGCCGGGGCGGGCTGAGTCGCGCTCGAAAGTGCCGGGTAGAGCCGGCTCGGAGCCCGAGATGGCGGTGGGGCTCCATAGAGACAGCAGAGCCTTCTTTTGCCTCTGTTAGTGACGCCCGCCCTTTGTGCTCCCCTTTCTGCTTGCCTGCCCGCTTGCCTGCAAGCTTGCCTGGCTGCTCGCTCGCCGCCTGCATGCCAAGAAACTATGAGCAGCACAAACACTCGTTTGGATGAACAAACCTGCAGCTGCAGGACCGGGACGACGCAGACGACGTCGAGGAACACGGAGACGGGGAATAAGTGGAAGAGAAAGATCGATGAAGTCTTACCGCTTCGCTGTGGATGGGATGGACGCCGAAGAGCACAACGACGAGCAGTTGCAGAGGCAGAGACTCCTTTACACTCCAGAGACCTCGCGTCATTCTCCTGGCAAGCTCTCCCAGGAGAACGCAAACCACAAAGTGCAGCGCAACGTTCACTGCGTGGAACCCTCTGGCTTTCGAACCGCTGACGAGATAGTTGAGTCTGCAATTAGAAGGAACAACGCGCTGTTACTCCGAGGCAATGATTCCGCAAAGCTGACGTTCATCACAAAAAAAAACGGGACTTCGAGAGAGGAATCCGGGACTTTCGGCTCGCTTCGGCTCGCGTGCCGCGGTCCCGCTGAGAATCAGATGGAGGAGGGCTCTCCACTCGTCCAAGGAGGACCCCTGCGGAAGCGACCGCAATTTATTTAGTGTCAATATCACAGGGATCTCGAGCTTCACCACTCCCGATCTCGAAAGAATTTGGTACCATACGAGCACTTCTTATCTCCCGGGAAGAATTTCCCCGCATGGACCAACTTCTCCCCACCCGGAATCTGGGCTCCGAGTTTCGAGATACTTAATTAGAAAATGTTCAACGAGGTCTTGTTGACGGCGGAACGGCGCTGTAATATTTCCAGCGTCATTCATCGGATGAACAAACAAGAGCTCTTCCAGTTAAGCGTTTGGCTAATGGAGCAAGGGCTGAGCCGCGCGCTTGGGCAAACTTTGCAATCAAGACGATAATTTTCTGAATAACGCCTTCACAGCACGTGCTCACAAATCGCCGCATTGGAGGGCAGGTGCTCCTCCGTAGTCAGAACGCAGTGGAAGATGCCTACTCGGGCTCGATGGATCGCCCTCGGACGAGCGGTTCTATCGTCTCCTGCTCTTTCGATGTTTGTTCGCCGATTAGACCCTCTCGGCTGCGGGGAAGCGGAAAAGCAAACGATCTCTCAGAGTGGGGAAACCATATCTTCCTCGGAGCAGGAAACGAGGCGGAATCCGGGCGCGCTCATTAATCGACGAATTAAATACCTCTGGAGAGAAAAGAGACGCGGCGGCGCGCCGCTAAAGAGAAGCGATCTCGGGCTCAAACCCTGCGTTCTCGACCCTGTCTAGCTCCTCTGTTAGGCGTTGATGATTGTCCCTGTTTGCTCTGGGTACACAAGAGCAGGTTCGTTCGCTTCCTCTACGGTCTGGCCCCCGGTCTTCGGATCTCTGTCCCAAGGCCCCGCCAGGGCTCTTCCAGCGGCGTGGCGCTCATTTGTTTCCAGGGCATCTCCTCGGCCGTGAGAGGCTTTCACGATTTAAACGACTTCGATTGCTCTCTCGTCGGTTCTCTTTGGTCCCGGATCGCTCCCATTTTCTATCGAGAGCGATTTTCCGATTGGCGCCAGCCGAGTTATAGGAGAAAGCGAGTATTACAGAATATATCCGAAAACGATAATTTCACCGACGTGCGAGGTTAGGAATTCCGGCTCGGGAAAATTCAGAGGGATCTCCAAACCTAATCGCAGTCAGCCTAAATGTCACAAGATTTGATTTATGTGCTTGTATGCTGAGAGGTTGAGGGGAATCGTTCCGACTGTCCGAGAAGTTTCATGAGAAAAACTGAGAAGTTAGACCGACGGAACGGAGAGTTTTTCTCTAGGTCGCGAGAAATATAGATAGATTTATTTATATTTCGAAGAGGCGACGGGAAGTAGCGGGGAAGTCTCCGGCTTTCTCCGACCCGTTCGTCGCAGGGGTTCGATCCGTTCGGGAGGAATCTTCGCGAACAGCTTTTTTCTTTCGACGACGACGTCGACGTCTCCCTTCTCTTCTCGGTTCGCTTCGCCCAAGCCCCTTGTCGTCTATAGGGTCCCATTTGAAAAATGGAGAAACTCCGTATGATACCCGACAGCCAGTGTTCATTTATTATTTTATCTGTTGAAGGTACGCAGCTACGACGACGATCACAATAGCCGGACCAGCAAGCGCGGGGCCAGTCTCCAAATCTTGCGCTGATACCCAAGCTCAGGAATGCGTTCAATATACGATTCTCGGGACGGATGATCATTTCTTCCCTCAATATCACCACCACCATCATCATCAGCAGCAGCGTCGGCGTTCGTCCTCTCGTCATTGTCTTCGCCATTCCACCGAATTCTCTTCTGGATTCTACACATTGGCTGGGGCTGAGCGTTCAAAAGCTCAAAAACGAAAATTAAAACCAAAATAGAAGAATAAAACCTCGTCGAAAGAATCCGTCGAACCGCTGCGCGACGGCCCTTGGACCTTGCGTGGAGAGGCCGTTCCGACAAAATAGGACTCCGAGACCCTAGAGGGCAGCGCCTCGATCATTTCCCGGTTTCGACAAGGGAATCTCCAGCCGACCCTGCGAACGATATTGCCAAGGACCTTTCGGAGAGTTTTCGATGGCAAAGACAGCTTTTGAATAGAACAACACGCTCCAGAAAGCGTGATGTTTTCGATCACGGTTTTTCTGCGCTGTCGCTCGTCGTGACTTCCATAAAGCTCTGTGAAGCGTTAGGAGTATTCATTGGGGTCTGAATGGAAGCGTGTCGTGATTCATTTCCGTCGAGGTGTCCCGGGAGACCGTAATCGATTTCCGAAAAGTCTTCGAGAATCCCAAATGAACGGTTCGAGGCTTTCAGTGCGTTCGAGTGCGAGTCCTCGATTCTGAAACAGCTCCAGATGAGTTTTACGGCGAATCTTCGACAGCCAGTGCTCCGAGCAGCGCTGAATCAAAAATTCATCAAAGGAGCGAGAAAATAATATTCTCTATGAACACTGGGAGTAGATAACATCAAGCTTCGTCTCTTCCGCCGAGCGAGCGAGCGAGTGAGTGTTGCTCCATGGGCAGCCGATGATCCATCATTTGGAGACACGTAGCCCCCATATACTTGGAGAGTGAATCTCGACAAGCGAACAGGGACTAGATGGCCGAGCGCAGCGTCCACGTATCTGACCAGGCACTTTTTTGCCATGGTATGCTTCTGTGTATTTAGTTCGGATGCCGCCGACCGATGGCGAGACGGACATGAAAAGTGGAGGAGTGACAGAACATACGTAGGTCCCCCAAGACTCGAGAGAGCCACCCTTCCAGAGAGGGAGGACCGAGGTGGGAGTTCCGCTGGAGGCAGATCGTCGCTCTCTGATGGATTACTGCGGTTGAGCTGTTCGGGGTCCTCTCTCCGGTTTTCTGCCCCCGTCGCTCTTCTTCTGCGCCCGCTCGTCCGAGTTGTTCCGCTGGTTGCTCTTTGAGACAAACAATAATAACTTTTTGTTGGTCCCCATACTAAGATTGCCGCGGGAGCAGATTGGGGCTTAGATCTCCGAAGAGAATCGAACAAACGGTGTTCATGTCTGGAATGCGGCGAGCTCCTCTCCCACCGGGACCGAACAAGGAAATTCCGATTCCTGTCCTTGATTGAGTCTGATTTGCATCGAGAAAACCCGAAACTCAGAGATCGATCTCAGGGGGTGAATCTTGACGGAAAAAGTGGAACGGCGGATCTCCATCGACAGCAGAAACTTGGTTTAGCTTCCGGGCTCGGGTTCAGACCGAGACGAAGCTCGGCAATCCTGTCCCCGGTATTCAACGCACGAGCGAAGGTCTGTGCCCTCAGGTGTCCATGGGCCAAGACCCCAAACCTCTCGGGTTGGGCAAGCTCACAGCCCATGATGAGGGAATTGGGCATCCATTCAAACCAGTGACCTGGAATACGGCCAGAGTATGTATTCGGCAGATTGACTCCGTCGGATTCCACGTCCTTCCATTGGAGGTAAACGGAAGAGCTCGACCAGCTCGGGAAACAATGCGGCGAGTGATTAATATTATGATCCCATCAAGCTTGTCTCCCGGTCGGTTGGTCTGAAATTACGCCGTGCTGTTTACGTCATGCGGCTGAAGAGTGTGAATAATACACACAAGCGCCTCTCAGGGCCGCTTGCTCGTTCGCAGTATTCCTCCCACCGCCACGGCTAGAACGAATGAACCGCAACTCAACTCAAAGAGGATCTGTTCGGATTCACAGACGGGCGGGCTGTCGACAACTGTTCCCTATGAATAGTGTCTTGCACGTCTATAATGCAAGAGTGGGAGCACGCCACTGACGAGAATGTCACCCTGAGCTTGTCCGTGCCGGGGTACGGAGCTTGACGCTCATCGATTCCAGCAGAACGCGCTGGAAATCGAGAACGAGCCCCGATAGGTGCGAATTTGCATCAATTATTATTGGAGCGTCATGCAAATACGATGAAGCCAATAGATGTCAATCGGACGTCGAATCCAGCTCAATTCATAATCCTTCCCCTCTCCCGCTCCCTCCGAGAGCGGAACGCTCGTTGTGCCCGGGGACTCGATATTCGAGAAGTAGGTACATATGTTCTGATTTCCCTGACGTTCCGGGGAAATCGCGCATACTCCCAACGCTTCCGCGGTAGAAACCCCTCCATTTCAACGCCAGCAGGGGATCGTTCGAACACCTCAGTCTGTCTTTTGTCCGCAAGCGCCGTGCCGCCCGCAGAGGCTGACGACATCAGACCGAGGTCTACACTCATTCATCATGACGATGGGACTCACTTGCTGCCGCAGTCGGTGCGGAGCCTGTGACTCGTCTCCCTCAAACGGTACTTTCTATTTTTCTTCAATCATCGTCCCTGGTCCCTCAAGCGTCGCGTCTGACAAAACGGAGTCACAGCCTCACCGTCTCGGACAATGTTTGCGTCAGTTGTTCAGAAACGTCAAGCCGGAAAGTGTCACCGGAGATTCGTCTCATCCGCCGAAACACTCATCGCCGTGTCCTGGGGAAAGCCATCATCGGCGAGCGATAGATCCCGCGATCGCCGAAGGAGGCGGAGCGAACGAAATGGATTTTGGCAAGACGACTTCCAAGTTCCGCGGTTAATTTTTACCGATGCGATATAGAAGATTTCATACCGATCCGAGTCCCTAACCACGAATAGTGTGTCATGGAATCATCGTCGAGGGTTCTCGGTCTGGCGCCAGCGGAACAGTAGGTTCGGGCGGGGACCAGGCGAGAATCGCCCGAGAGACAGAAATAAACCGGGCGAAGAGATATGCCCGGGATAGACTAGAAAAAAGAACGGGCTCGCTCAGCTCGACGGAATAACGGGGAAATCCACTCGTCGTGTGCGTCAAAAGGCTTTTACTCCGTGTAAGCCGTCCGCTCCGTCAGCTCGTCCGTCGGT